GGTTCGAGCCCTCCCAGTCTTGCAGTAGCACCTTACACTTTGCAGGTGTGAAGCGCATGCCGAACCGCGAGGCAGAATTATTTAGATTATTTAATATTGTTTGCAGAAGAGCTATGTCATCTGCGTACCCGATGTCTGTGAGCGGAGGCCCATGGAGCATTTCGACGCCAGAGGCGTTAGAGGCTGGTAGTGAGTCTTCCATGATCGTATCATTGACGAAGTTGAAGAGGAAAGGTTAAAGAAGACAGCCTTGTCGGACACCACTTAATGTGGTGAACTCAGGGGAGAGCTTATTGTAGACCTTTGCACGGTCTCGGGAGTTGACGTACAGCGCCTTAATGGGGGTCAAGAATTTATGGGGGACACCTTTGCTCCACAGACACTGCCATTGTGCTTGGTGGTCCACAGAGTCAAAGGCAGCTTTCAGATCAAGAAACAACCATTGTTGGTTGCTGGAAGCAGTGTCGCTGTTCCAGAATCTGTCGAAGGGTGAAGATATGATCGATGCAACCTCTTACAGGACGGAACCCAGCTTGGTTTTCACGGATCTGCCTCTCTCTATGTTCCGTCAACCTTCGAAGAATAAGGCCAAAGAGCACCTTCGATGCCACAGCTAACAGGCTGATGCCACGGTGGTTTTCACATAGCGTCCGCGTACCTTTTTTGAAGATGGGGATAACTGTCGACATGCCCCATTCTACAGGCACTTTCTTTTCGTCCCCTGTAACACCAGTAAGATTTGTCAGGTGGGTCACCAGGGATTTTCCGCCTTCTTTGAAGAGAGCTAGATACAGACCGTCCGGTCCTAGTGCCTTATCACGTTTCAGTACGGCTATTTCATACCTTGTTTCTTCTTCCGAAGGGCAATCAAGGTTTACATCCCATTCGCCCGTATGCATTACCTCCACTGGTTGTGTTGCATGAGGCCAGCTGAACTGCTCTTCGAAGTGTTCAGCCCATCTTTCCAGTCGACGTTTTTGCGAATGAATTAAGAGCCCTCTTTTTCATTTATCGTTTCGCTGACCGTTGCTTTCCTGGGGCCAGTCGATCGTATCAGTTGATAAAGGACACGGCTGTTTCCCGTAGCAAAAGTCTTCTCCATCTCCCGAGCTTTCGATGTCCACCAGAGCTCTCGGTCTTTCCTTAGACTCTTCAATATTTGGCGTTTGAGGGATTTGTTTACTGGTTCACCGACTTCCAGTAAAGCCTTGAAACACTGAAACAAAACTGAGTCTTGCCGTACACCCAGGTATATGCACGCACACAAACCTTATAACCCGTGGAATCCGAAAAGCCCACAAACTAACTGTTAGATCTAGACAACTGTACTCTCGTCTGGAGGACAAGGCCATAGAAAGCACACGAAAAGTTGAAAACATTTCATCAGCACGGAACGAAGAACTTCACTAACAGAAGAGTACACTGTACCTATCATGAGATATCATCCACTGTGCCTGGTTCCCATCAACGAAGAGCAAGGACACCAAACAAATATGGAAAATGTGAAGAACCTACGGTCTCCAAATACAAAGCAAGCGATGAAATTTTTAGGGGCATTAAGATCCGCAATTGATTTAATTAGTCCAAGTATTTCAATCGGCCCGATTCATGTGGCACTGCAAGCAAAGGACCAATAATTCAGTCGGAACACCCAGCCCAAGAATTGAGCTATAGCACCAACTTGGGAAAAAACTAACATAGGTGGGGTCGTAGCTTATCAATATACCAACCGATAGGAAGAAAAGGACATGCAGCACGCCCATAGGACTGTTCACTAGAGTCACCAATGATAGGCCAAAATCAACCCGAACTCAGCAAAATTATCAAGAGTATCCAACCCATATTACTTCGGATACGGACGAACATAGTTTCTTCTCTCGAACAAGGTCAAAGCCAATCTGCTGAGCTACCCGAAGGCCACCTAGTACACATCTCAACCTTCCATCACCATCGGAACCCAATATGCGACTCCAAACGGTGGTGGTCAGGAGCTCAAAAGAGGCTTGGAAAACATTTACGGAATCATGCCTTACAGTAACAGGTCATCTTAGCTGGCTCCGAAGAATGGCTGTCAGGACAGTTGCCCACCAGAAAACTATGTGCTTACAGTCATCTGCTCATCTGCTTTCTCAAACTGCACGACTGAAATCCTGTTGTTTATGAGGGGAATCGGCGGATAATTCGATTGTGTGTGGCTGGTAGGTGACTCAGACCACCACCCTGGAACTAACATATCCACTACATAGTGAACTTAATGCAATCCAACCGTTGGTTCGGATAGCCAGTTTCTTTCGATGCAAATGAACCTACTGGAAAATCTATATACCTTGCTCTCTCTCTCTCAGTAACCTGGTACTCTATATGATGTTCACAAAATTCAGGATAGTTATTAGAGTACGCTATTTTCTCTTTTCATGCACTTAAAGGGCTTAAACCCAGAACCCCGTGGACCATGATATTTTCCAGCTCCGACTCTCATCCTACCCCAATTTCGTTTACAGGCCGGCGTTTGTGAAAATTCTGTTTTTCTCAAAAAGTTGTCCGATTAGCAAATCAGTTGATTAAAATAGATTCACTCGATTCAGGACAAGAATTGTTGCTTGACACGATAAGCTACTCAAAGCTGTTGACTACTCCTCGACAGACCATTCTGCTCTGCACATTCAGATAAAGAATACTACGATCGAGAGACTCGGTTGTCTCTCGTTATCATCGAGGTAATGATTAAATGAGTGTTTGTTTCGTCGGGTACCATTATTGTTTACCGCTTCCCTAGTGGTTTCGACCATGCTGGACTCTGATTCAAATTCCGAGTCCGTTTAATCTAGTTGGAGTTCGGATTCCAGCGCCGAAATTCGTAGATGTGGTGGTTTTAATGTTTACAACAGAGATTGGGGGTCGAGATGGACCAAGTGGTTAGAGAGCGAATCTACTGACCGGAAGGTCCGTGGTTCGAACCCGACCTCTGCATCTCAACTTCCCCTGTCTAGGTTTGGGCGACCTGACAGTATCCCAGCCCTCGTTCCTCCTTCGTGTGGCATGGCAGCTAGGCACCGAAAGGGTGCTACAGCTGGATGATACAGAGATCGGTTCCATTCGTTTACTACATTCAGGAAACAATTGGTAGAGTGGAGAGCCTTCCCGCGCTCTTTCCCAACTTGTTCAGTTTCCAACCCGTAATCCCGACGGGAACAGATACCGTTATCTTTTCTCACTCCGATTCCTTCCCAGTTTATTGTTTCATGCACCATTGCCAACAGTCTCAGTGATTTTGAACGCAAAGTGCTGTACACAATGCAAACCTCCGTGAATGTCAATATGGGTTTTGAATAAAAAGGAAAGAGCACCGACCCGCTAGGCAACATGGCTAACCGGTGACCTTCTGTACTGGAATCGTTTAGCGAAGCCGCTCTGTTGAACGTCTTAGGTTTTTGACAGCGTTTGGCGTCTTCGTAGGCAAGTTCTCAAACTTTGTTCTATGACTGGAACTCAGCATCTAGGTCCGTAGTTAGCTAAGCGGATAGCCAACGGTAAAAAAACGGTAGGATACCCCTTGATGAACAGGGCCCACATTCATCAGCCTGAAAGGGCAAACTGCCGTGTGATGGCCTCTCATCGGAAGGGGCATCGTACGTAAGAATCGATAACCAACTACGTGACTGGCCGGAATCGATAAAAAATAGTATACAGAGGCACATATATATATTTATATCAGTTTCATCATTGAAAACAGTTCAAAAATGCAGCGGATTCCGTAAAGCGCTTGATGGAAATACTTTGAAGCTCACATTAATTCCATGTGCATTTGTGTGATACGAGTATAGACATCGCCCGGCAACTTATACGGTATTCGCCCCACATAGGCAACGAGGGCCTTGGCTCGGTTACGAACGTTAGATAAAGTAAGCTGTGCAACCGAGTCATCAACGGCTTGCATTGAAGAACTGTGGAGAGGAAAAAAACAGGGAGAAGAATCGCAGTTAGCTGATTCCTAATTGTGTTGCACAGAGGGACTAGGTGAGTGTAGGGTAAAAAAGCTGTAACAGCTCACTCGCATCATCCACTAGCTGCGATTACCAATCAACCAATTTTCAATGACATTGTTTTTCAGACCAAACATGTAATCATCAAGTGGCAAGAATAGATGTGAGTTGATAAAGGTCCGTTATTGGGCCCCGTTGGAAAAACCGTACGTCTATTCAAAGTTGATTGACGATCAATTCGGAAAGAACAAAAAGAGTTTAAGCGGAATTAAATGACCAACTCTCTGGTCACCTCAGGGGCGAAATAAGCAAAGGCACATCCACAAGAGAACATCTGCCATTTGGAACGTGTTAATGTACAATGCCCAAGCTACTTGACTACATCCAAGCTGAATTCAGTGTGAATACTCTTAAACATCCACAGTTTTTTAAATACCATGTGCGTATAGTTAGGTAGTTCGGAGCTTTGCGGTCTCGTGGCACAACAGTTTCAATCATATCAAGAGAACAATTGCTGTCCGTTGGAATCTGGATGAGACGTTCTTTGGATTGTATCCAAGACGACAATACGGTGAAGGGAATTTCGAAACCAGAGGGCGTATTCTAATGGCAGTGGTATACTTCCCTTCCCTGGCTACGTAAGGCTTACCAGGCTTACCAGTCAAACTCTAAAGAACGTTAGGAAGTTATCCTTTCCTTCAACTTTCGATCTAGGATTTTCAACCCACAGGTCTGCAATGGCAGGTGTTTCACTAAGTCGCCATTTACCTTGAACTTGGTGAACCACCCATAACCAGTAAAAAATGTCAAGCGTCCACGTTTGACTGGAAAGTCCTGACATACAAGCACAACCAGGATAGCTACCGGGTCGTCACATCCCTCAATTTTGAAAATGTTTGCCTGTCCAGGTGCGTCCACAGGGTGGAAGTAGTGGTAACATGCTCTCGTGGCATGTAAGCTGTTCATGATTCGAATCCCGACAAAGCTAATAAGTTACACTGCTACTGAGCTGTAGTAAGAGCGAAACTCGAGTCCTCTCTATGGTGCAGACTAACCAGAATAATTGCACCAGAATGGCAGGTCTATTCACATGACTAACGTGAACGCAAATTTCACAAATCCCGCAACCACCTAGAACTAAGCAAAATAGACCATGGAAGAATCACTGTGAGCCTAACACGCTTCCACTGTACTGACGAAATCACGAACAGTAGCGAATCTAGGGTAGTACCAATCATTCTTTCAACTAAACGGAATAATGTCATTTGATAAGCGTTGCTATGAACGATCCCTCTAACGAACTTCTAGGACCAAGGCCTTTGTGGTAAATAGAGCACTATCAGGATATTAGTTAAGACTGCCTAGGTTGTAAACAGCCCTACAGAGAGAAAGTCCGGCAAGATGACCACAAAAGGAAAGACAGAAAAGGCTGTGAGTCCCAAAAACATAATGCCAACCGAAAAAATAATGCGCTATAGGCTCTGACCGGAGGAATGTGGGAGATGCCAGCCGAAAAGCTGTAAGCCGCAGGAGGCCGGGTCAAATAACCACAGGGCCAAAACAGCCAAAAGGCTTCATCGCGCAAAACATGCGCCAACATTCACTTCAACAGCTCTAAACAGGATTCACCTGGCATTGATGTGTGCTGTGTATCAGAAACCAGAATTCAAGATACAAGCACAGTGGTTGAGAAAACCGCCCCACCACTCTCCACTCGCTTACGGCTGCGCACCTCCGGCAATCCAGAGGCTGCTGCGGCAGGATGTACAGGGGTTGGTAACGTCCTAGGTCATTCGGCGAAAAGATCCTTGCTTCACTGGATACCCGTTGATAGTCGCCTCTGCGTGGTTCATTTGGCAACGTTTGTAAAGGAGTCTCACAAGGGGGAGTTGATCGATGTCTGTTTGTCGTCTCCGCTTACGCCCCAACTGAGTGTAGCTCTGACGCCATCAAAGGCAAGTTTTATGATGCCGTGAATGACCTGTTGCGGCGAGGTAAAAGCTCAGATGTCACTGGGATTGCCACGGATCTAGAAGCGCATGGGGCAGGCTTAGCAAATCGGATACACAATTAGGTGGCCGGCATGGACTGGACTCGGTAAACGATTGCTTCAGATGAGTGCTGATCGCAGGCTGTTGTTATGCAGGACTAAATACCGAAGTAACCGAGGTCCTCTGGGCACATAATGTCCTCCAAAGGCGTACCGCCAACGAACTCAAATCGATCACATTGCCATCAGTTACCGAAACCGCGGATAAATAACTGATTGACGATCGTTTTGGAGCACGTTTGTGGGTTTCGACCACACATTCGCTTCTCCCTTCGTTTTCCAAGGGCCGCGTAAGGTGCGGCACAATCGTCTTCTATAGTTTTTTTTTCAAGCGCTCCACCATCGGATGTGAATTCATGATGGGAGGAGATCGCCACCTCGTTGCAGTGTTGGGAGTTTTGTCTGTGGCACGGCCCTACTAGGTTCACTCAAGCACTGGGTATCACACCGAACAGTGGCACTGCTTAAGTCTGGAAGAAATGTCCCCGCCGGTCCCGAACATAACTTGGCCCGACGAATTATTAGACTTCAAGTAAAAGTGAGTGTGCGAGTTGACCGTGAAGTCCGGTGGACACGGAATGGAAGAGGCACGGAAATCGGATAATGCCCAAAGATTATTTCAGTTGATCCGTGCGACCGGTCCCCGGAAACAACCTGTGGAACTAAACCTCAAGGACAGGAATGTAAGTGACCATCTTGAGTAAAGAATGCCTCGAAGAGTGGATCAACAGGGTGGAACAGCAGCTATCCGGGCCAATTGCCACACAAGTGGAGCCCACAGTTGACGTATAACCCAAGACGATGAACATGGAAACCCTACGGCCTCGAAGGTTTATGATTGCACCACTATGCTTCTGGTCCGGATGACCTTCCACCGTTCAAAGGTGGAAGGTGTTCAAAGATAAGGGTATATTAGTCAGTCAGTGCTTGTCTGAGCTGCTTGCCCGTATTTGTGAAAAGGAGACTTTTCCGGACGATTGGTAAGAGTCAGTGATAGTGCCCATCCTCAAAAAAAGAGGCTTGTAGTGAGCGTAGTAACCACAGCTGGATCAGATTGACCCTGGTCGTAACGATACTGTTGGCGTCACTTGTGCCTCATCACCTCATGGAGTCTTGTGAAACACTGATTCGAGAGCAGCAAGCTGGGTACCAGCCTGGTATGAGTTGCGTTTACCAAATATTTACACTTATTCAAGTATTACAACGAAATCATGCGTACAAGCGAGCTAAGTTTCCGTATTTCTGGATTTCAAAGGCGCATTCGATTCGGTTGACCGGTCTGTTCTCCTTGACACGCTGTCCCATCAAGGAATGCCTCGGAAGTTTGTGAATATAATAAGCTTCTTATATTATCAGACTTCCGGACGTAGGAGAGTATAAGGAAAGCTCTCCAAAAGCTTCCGTACGCAAAGCAGTGCCCGTCAGAGGTGCATAGTCATTTCATCTCTATTTATTTTCGTGATCCATGAAATAGTGGGAGGTCTTCAAAACCCCGGTGTTCTAAAGGCCTCTGGCGAAAACCTTGTCGATCTTGAGTATGCAGACGACATTGCACCCATCTTCGAAAAGGGGGAGAAGGCGCAGTTATTTTTGGATGATCTGACCACAGTTATCTCGTCTTTTGGTATGCACTAGACACTTACACAGTGATGCTCATGCTCCTGGACAAGCAGTAACTGAGCATGCCAATTACAATCCAAGGGAAGGATCTGGAAGTTGTGGAGCATTATATGTATCTAGAAGGTTGTATTAGTTCAGCTTGTAGTGTGACAAATGAGGTCAACGTACCAATCTGCAAGGTTCTAGTCGCGTTTTCTAATGTGAGACACCTATGCCGTCAAAGTAGTGTATCCCTGAATCTCAAGGGAAGTGTATCAAGCTATAGTGCGGGTCGTTTTGTTGTATGGCTATGAGACGTGGCCTATTTGAGTAGCGGAACTGGGACGCCTTCAGGTCTTCGACAATCGTTATCTCAGAACCACAGCTCGCGCGAACTGTTGCCGGTGAATATGGAAGGAGTCAATTGGAAAACGGGCATTCGGTTGTGCAAGAACGTGAAGGTGACCAGCACCAAAAGCTGCGTTGGTCAAGTCATGTATCGCGGATGCCGAACCATCGTTTCCCGAGGAAAGTGCTGTTTTCCGTACCCAATTCAGTGGCGGAAGCAGATGGGTTGCCAGTCCTTGATCCGGAAGAGGGATATGGAAGAGAGTACGAAACGCTTAGATGCTGTGGGTGCTGCTCACCTTCTAGGGTGTGATCCCCACTGCGCCTGGTCGGAGATATCAAAAGATATGGCTGCCGATCAATGTCAATTGCATTCTTCTTGTCAGTTTGCATCCATATTGCCTGAATAAATGTCTGAAAGTTCAAACACCTCGGAATGATTGTAGTAAACTAGCACTAAATCTCTTCCCCGTCCACTTTTATTCTTTTCTTTCAAATAAATCATGGTTGTGTCGCAGGGAACCATCAGTGCTGAATACTGACGTCATGCTGTCACTCAAAATGAGGAGACGGACGAAACGCTCCCCTAAGAGTAATCATACTCTGTGTGTACGACAGTATTTGGAACTCTTTCAGGACCCGAATAAAAACAGCCAAATTGAACAAAGTCTGGACGGTCACTAAAACTCACCTCAGCTGAGTTTTGCTACCTCGATATCTGTCAACAACACGAAGAAGGCAACGCATCAGGACTAGCAATGCCCTGGGAAGCGGACGTCGCACATAGTCTGGGAGCTGACTAAAAAGACTGACTTTGGCTTCCACTTCGGCGAATTGTGGGTTGGACGGGTAGACTTCAAGTAAAAGTGAGTGTGCGAGTTGACCGTGAAGTCCGGTGGACACGGAATGGAAGAGGCACGGAAATCGGATAATGCCCAAAGATTATTTCAGTTGATCCGTGCGACCGGTCCCCGGAAACAACCTGTGAACTAAACCATCAAGGACAGGAATGTAAGTGACCATCTTGAGTAAAGAATGCCTCGAAGAGTGGATCAACAGGGTGGAACAGCAGCTATCGTGGCCAATTGCCACACAAGTGGAGCCCACAGTTGACGTATAACCCAAGACGATGAACATGGAAACCCTACGGCCTCGAAGGTTTATGATTGCACCACTATGCTTCTGGTCCGGATGACCTTCCACCGTTCAAAGGTGGAAGGTGTTCAAAGATAAGGGTATATTAGTCAGTCAGTGCTTGTCTGAGCTGCTTGCCCGTATTTGTGAAAAGGAGACTTTTCCGGACGATTGGTAAGAGTCAGTGATAGTGCCCATCCTCAAAAAAAGAGGCTTGTAGTGAGCGTAGTAACCACAGCTGGATCAGATTGACCCTGGTCGTAACGATACTGTTGGCGTCACTTGTGCCTCATCACCTCATGGAGTCTTGTGAAACACTGATTCGAGAGCAGCAAGCTGGGTACCAGCCTGGTATGAGTTGCGTTTACCAAATATTTACACTTATTCAAGTATTACAACGAAATCATGCGTACAAGCGAGCTAAGTTTCCGTATTTCTGGATTTCAAAGGCGCATTCGATTCGGTTGACCGGTCTGTTCTCCTTGACACGCTGTCCCATCAAGGAATGCCTCGGAAGTTTGTGAATATAATAAGCTTCTTATATTATCAGACTTCCGGACGTAGGAGAGTATAAGGAAAGCTCTCCAAAAGCTTCCGTACGCAAAGCAGTGCCCGTCAGAGGTGCATAGTCATTTCATCTCTATTTATTTTCGTGATCCATGAAATAGTGGGAGGTCTTCAAAACCCCGGTGTTCTAAAGGCCTCTGGCGAAAACCTTGTCGATCTTGAGTATGCAGACGACATTGCACCCATCTTCGAAAAGGGGGAGAAGGCGCAGTTATTTTTGGATGATCTGACCACAGTTATCTCGTCTTTTGGTATGCACTAGACACTTACACAGTGATGCTCATGCTCCTGGACAAGCAGTAACTGAGCATGCCAATTACAATCCAAGGGAAGGATCTGGAAGTTGTGGAGCATTATATGTATCTAGAAGGTTGTATTAGTTCAGCTTGTAGTGTGACAAATGAGGTCAACGTACCAATCTGCAAGGTTCTAGTCGCGTTTTCTAATGTGAGACACCTATGCCGTCAAAGTAGTGTATCCCTGAATCTCAAGGGAAGTGTATCAAGCTATAGTGCGGGTCGTTTTGTTGTATGGCTATGAGACGTGGCCTATTTGAGTAGCGGAACTGGGACGCCTTCAGGTCTTCGACAATCGTTATCTCAGAACCACAGCTCGCGCGAACTGTTGCCGGTGAATATGGAAGGAGTCAATTGGAAAACGGGCATTCGGTTGTGCAAGAACGTGAAGGTGACCAGCACCAAAAGCTGCGTTGGTCAAGTCATGTATCGCGGATGCCGAACCATCGTTTCCCGAGGAAAGTGCTGTTTTCCGTACCCAATTCAGTGGCGGAAGCAGATGGGTTGCCAGTCCTTGATCCGGAAGAGGGATATGGAAGAGAGTACGAAACGCTTAGATGCTGTGGGTGCTGCTCACCTTCTAGGGTGTGATCCCCACTGCGCCTGGTCGGAGATATCAAAAGATATGGCTGCCGATCAATGTCAATTGCATTCTTCTTGTCAGTTTGCATCCATATTGCCTGAATAAATGTCTGAAAGTTCAAACACCTCGGAATGATTGTAGTAAACTAGCACTAAATCTCTTCCCCGTCCACTTTTATTCTTTTCTTTCAAATAAATCATGGTTGTGTCGCAGGGAACCATCAGTGCTGAATACTGACGTCATGCTGTCACTCAAAATGAGGAGACGGACGAAACGCTCCCCTAAGAGTAATCATACTCTGTGTGTACGACAGTATTTGGAACTCTTTCAGGACCCGAATAAAAACAGCCAAATTGAACAAAGTCTGGACGGTCACTAAAACTCACCTCAGCTGAGTTTTGCTACCTCGATATCTGTCAACAACACGAAGAAGGCAACGCATCAGGACTAGCAATGCCCTGGGAAGCGGACGTCGCACATAGTCTGGGAGCTGACTAAAAAGACTGACTTTGGCTTCCACTTCGGCGAATTGTGGGTTGGACGGGAACAGGCCAAGCTGATCCATGTGATCAATCGCTGCCTGACACTGGTGGTCAGCTTGAGCTAGATCGAAGAACGTAGCGAGATCAAGCAAGTAAAACAGGGCTTTGGAGCTTGACATCTGATAGTCCGGAACGAACTGGTCATCAGTTTCATGAATTGAACTAGACAGCATATCCTCGAACATTGCATCAGACTCCCGCACTTTGTGTGCAAGCTGAAACAAAGCGGCAAACAGGGTCAAATAGGTATTCAAAGGCTGAAAGGTATTCATATTTGTTACCTTAACAGCGAAGGAACCACAAACACCGAAGATAATCACCTGAGACCGATGAATCACTTATCAATGCATGTACGCATAAAGTAAGCATCCAGAATTATCACATCAACGTGAAAGATGAAAAACCATTTCTGCAGTACGTACTGATGCTTGCAAATGAGAAACTAACTTATCGCCACAAGTCCAAAGATTTCTCCAACTACCCTCTAACAAATTCTCATTATTTAGGTAAATTCGGTAAAACCTGACCATGAAAGAACTGTGTGGGATTACACAGAGAACGGTGTCTCTATGAAGACTAAGCTACTCTCTGGGTAGGACAACTTAAAACCCTAATCCGTAATGATTTATGAATCCATGCAGATGATGTGCAGAATAGTCAGAGTAAAAACACTAGGAACGTGACAGCTGACGTGGAAAGCAATGGGTATTGTATGACATTAGAGAGGAGCCAAATACATTTAATATAAAGTAAATAACAAGCACCCTTGGTTGAAGTAGCCTAATGCTCATCAGACAAGCGCTACCTCGATCCAGCTAGCGTGTATGGTTTCCCATGTCGCGCACATGCGTTTGAATCCAACACTGATTAGCCACAGCTTCTCACAACGAATTTAACAGCTGATGTCTATCAATACCATCAGCAAGCTCCTCGGGACCTCCTCAGGGAGACAGCAATCGATATCGTCCACATGATCAAAGGACATTGGTTTATATTGAGATGGAAAACATAGGGATTTGAACAACCTTGAATAGGAGCCCAAATGCATACAATGCAGACGAACATTCAAAGTAGTTTGAATGGATTCATGTCATTTCGTTTGAGATGCTTACTGAGGTGTCATATTCAATCTCAGAACTGTTTAGATAAGAGTGGCACAAAGTAAATGTGTCTTTCGAAATAGATTGGTAGGCCAGGAAGTAACCAAACATCATCATCATCATCACTAGCTGTAAAAAAACGCGTACTTGCCGTACAGTGGCTATGATAGCTAATTTCGTTCACGGATGATTTGGGGAGGTGGGCTAGGTAGATAAGCATTGGAGCCGGTGGCTCGTTTCCACCCTTCATGTAGTTAGGCGAAAAGAGCCATTCGAGGAAGTTGGTCGACTGGCATACGAGTCGACCTAGCCAGCGCAACCTGTGGAGGGTGATCGGTTCATCAATCGTGGGCAAGTTATCTCTTCCGAAAACCATTCGATGTACTAAAGTACTACTGCCCCGGTGTTCTAGCCAGACTTAAGCAATGTTCAGAAGACATCAGTGGTAAAAAACGACAGGTTTTTGACGTCACCAGCGTGCAACGACCATGTTTCTGGCCTGGAGTGCACCTCAGCATTGTAGACTCGACCCTTAATCGACAAGCGGTCGTCATGCCTATGCCACAGATTCNATAATCACCTGAGACCGATGAATCACTTATCAATGCATGTACGCATAAAGTAAGCATCCAGAATTATCACATCAACGTGAAAGATGAAAAACCATTTCTGCAGTACGTACTGATGCTTGCAAATGAGAAACTAACTTATCGCCACAAGTCCAAAGATTTCTCCAACTACCCTCTAACAAATTCTCATTATTTAGGTAAATTCGGTAAAACCTGACCATGAAAGAACTGTGTGGGATTACACAGAGAACGGTGTCTCTATGAAGACTAAGCTACTCTCTGGGTAGGACAACTTAAAACCCTAATCCGTAATGATTTATGAATCCATGCAGATGATGTGCAGAATAGTCAGAGTAAAAACACTAGGAACGTGACAGCTGACGTGGAAAGCAATGGGTATTGTATGACATTAGAGAGGAGCCAAATACATTTAATATAAAGTAAATAACAAGCACCCTTGGTTGAAGTAGCCTAATGCTCATCAGACAAGCGCTACCTCGATCCAGCTAGCGTGTATGGTTTCCCATGTCGCGCACATGCGTTTGAATCCAACACTGATTAGCCACAGCTTCTCACAACGAATTTAACAGCTGATGTCTATCAATACCATCAGCAAGCTCCTCGGGACCTCCTCAGGGAGACAGCAATCGATATCGTCCACATGATCAAAGGACATTGGTTTATATTGAGATGGAAAACATAGGGATTTGAACAACCTTGAATAGGAGCCCAAATGCATACAATGCAGACGAACATTCAAAGTAGTTTGAATGGATTCATGTCATTTCGTTTGAGATGCTTACTGAGGTGTCATATTCAATCTCAGAACTGTTTAGATAAGAGTGGCACAAAGTAAATGTGTCTTTCGAAATAGATTGGTAGGCCAGGAAGTAACCAAACATCATCATCATCATCACTAGCTGTAAAAAAACGCGTACTTGCCGTACAGTGGCTATGATAGCTAATTTCGTTCACGGATGATTTGGGGAGGTGGGCTAGGTAGATAAGCATTGGAGCCGGTGGCTCGTTTCCACCCTTCATGTAGTTAGGCGAAAAGAGCCATTCGAGGAAGTTGGTCGACTGGCATACGAGTCGACCTAGCCAGCGCAACCTGTGGAGGGTGATCGGTTCATCAATCGTGGGCAAGTTATCTCTTCCGAAAACCATTCGATGTACTAAAGTACTACTGCCCCGGTGTTCTAGCCAGACTTAAGCAATGTTCAGAAGACATCAGTGGTAAAAAACGACAGGTTTTTGACGTCACCAGCGTGCAACGACCATGTTTCTGGCCTGGAGTGCACCTCAGCATTGTAGACTCGACCCTTAATCGACAAGCGGTCGTCATGCCTATGCCACAGATTCACGACAGTTGCTCTTGCCATCCCAATCCGGGTGGAAATATCGTCTTCGGCTGAAACAGCTGCCTGGGTAGACGAATTTCTCTTATACATCAATTGGCTCGTTAGCAAGCATTAGGTTAGGGTTCGAGCCCACCCCGTCTTGCAGCAGCACTTTACACTATGAAGGTGTGAAATGCATGTCAAACCGTGAAGCGGAATAGCTCAGATTAGTTAATGTTGTCTCGCATTATGATGGCATCAGATCCAAGAATAGCTAGCTCGTCTGCGTACTCGATATCTGTGAGCGAATGACCTGGGAGCATTTCGATCCCACAGGTATTAGAGGTCGTTAACTAGGCTTCCATAATGGCATCGATGGCGAGGTTGAAGGGAAAAGGATAAAGAGGATAGCCTAATCTGACACCACTTAACGTAATGAACTCACGCGAGAGTTTACCGTAGACTCTCATGCGTCCACGGGAGTTGGAGTACAGCAGATTAAGGAGGGCCAAGAATTTATGGGAATTTGTGTTGCAGGAAGCAAGCTAAACTGCTCTTTGAAGCGTTCGGTCATCTTTCCAGTCGGCGTTTTTGTGAATAAATTAATGAGCCGCCTTTTTCACTTACCACTTCACTGCTGTTGCTTTCCTAAGGATAGTCGACCGTGGCTATTTCCGGTAGAAGCATTCTTAATCTCCCAAACTGTCAACGTCCAGGAAAGCTCTCGGTAATTCCTCAGGCTATCCACTATTTGGCGTTTGAGGCATTTGTGTCCATCGTCGTACTCGTTACCTGCTGATATCAACTCCCTGGCACCAATCGGGACAACGATATCAAGTGGTCATTCGATTATATCGGAGAATTCGGACAGACAGCACTGAACCCCGGTGGCATAGCTCATCTTACACTTTGCCGTGCTTCATCCAGGTTCTTCAAAGATGGATTAGCATGATTCTTTCTGACTTGCGAGGGCCTGAAAGGAAACGAACTGTAGGGCATGCTTGCGCCATGGCGTGGTCGCCCCAAAAAGAAAGACACCCGTGAATTGTGACTACCCACCGGTGGCTGATGGCCACCGGGCTCACGGTTGATTTGCAATTGGTGGACACCATGTTACGCAATGCAAACGTCTCTGCTGAAAGCCTGTAGAGGTTAGAAACAGTCGACGATCAGCATACAAGTGCAGAGGTCGCTTTCCGTTGCCTGTCTGACGAACATCAACTTCGAATAGACCGTCAAGATGTGATTCCAATGAGCTAAGACAACCGACTTGGATATTCATATCGCCCGCAAGGATCACAATGTCAGTGCCTTTCAAAAGAAGCACGAGGGCTGGGATACTGCCAGGTTGCCCAAGCCTAGACATGAAAAGGCAAGATGCATCTCGCCACCTCGGCCCCAACACTATGTATTCCATGACTCATTGTCTATAGATTACTAGACACTCAGAGAGTGAAATGTTCACCCTTAGCGCTTTAAGAAGCATAACCACGCTTGGACTTGTATGCGTGTTTCGAACACAGTATACATTATTCTTAAGGGGAACTAGGGTCGGAGCAAACATCCGTTTGACAATTTGATCTCCTGGAAATAGCGAAGTGCCATTTTTCTGAGTGTTAATAAGCAGCGAGGTGCATAAGCCCCATCGGTCAGACAACTGACAGTCAAATTACCCAGAAACTCTTGCTTGTGTGGTGGGAAGAGGTAAACAAAGAACTGTGCGGGCAAATGATGCTTTCCGGTTGCCCAGGACGAAGAAAAGGGTTTGTTTGGGGCATACCAAGACAGTGACAGGATGGAACGTTTTGTAAAAAGACCCTGCTCCTAGCCTCTGACTTAAAAGTCTAACTCGTGAGATAGCGGGCAGTAGCGTTTCCTTTGAGGAACCTGCCCGGAGCCGGACTCAATAGTCTGACCCACTTGGCTGCAGGGGGCTGGCCTAGCCAACGGACCCAGGGAGTAAGACATAATGGTCCAACTCTTAATGCGACTGAGCAGAGCAGCACCAGATTCTTCGATTTTAAAAGTATTTTGACCGTACTGAGCAATGCGCTGACAATCACGGTTTGACGATCGGAGTGAGCAACCTTGTCTTACCTATTCATCCTCGAAGGAAGGCAACATCGTTGCTTTCATAGACATAGACATGCTGGTGGCCTAGGGGAAACACATTACCGCCTTCGTACTCTTATCGTAGAGGACAGTATGGATTTACCTCCATACCTCCTCGTACAACGATTACTCGTAGTACGTGGTCTCGGTGTTCTTGGTCTGACTGCTACGGTTTGGTCTTCCTGGCATGATTGCACCTTGTGGAACGAAGTTCAAGCCAGTGTAGTCCCCCGCTTCACTGCAGCACTCAAGATGGAAGCCTTAGTTCGGGAACAAACGTACCACTATAGGTTTTACTGATTCAGTTGCACGCCCAACTGGTTGTTAAGCAGTAACTGCTCTTCACAATCAGAAATTGGTTGAAAAACACACCTAACGACTAATTAGTAGTTGTGGAAACCGCTTTTGTAAAATACGGCGAACACTAAAACTTCCATACAGAAGAAACACTTACTTTTGTCGCAATTCGTATTACCAAACCTCGATCCGGATGCCCAGTCGTGGTTCTAGGACCCGTCACAGATGATGAAGCTGGACTATCATCAGTATACACCAGGCCAGCAAGCAAATAGTTGGTTAGCGAAATAGCCTTTCGATAGTAGTGGGTCTGCGAGCTACCGTTGCTGGCCGCTAACTGGTACAATGATATGGCGTCGATCAGCTGACCTCGGGTTTCCAGCGCACTAGCCACAACTGTAATGACATCCTGTCGAGCACTTAGAGTCTGGCAGTAGCGGTCTATGGCACCTGGCTGAAAAAGTGGAGAAGCGTCAAGGGTGGGACACAAATTGTCAACAACCAACGGGCTTCCGTTTAAGCGGAAAGGAATACCTTGTGATAAAAATAAGGGTTAGGAAGATCATCAATGAAGCCAAACATGTAGAATAAGAAAACGGGACTTACTTTACGAACACCCGATTCGGTCACAAAGCCTAACAATTCGTCAAACTAGGAGAGAAGAAAGAAGGGAAAGCAAGTATTGAATGTATCAGAAGACTGCCAATTGGTATGCTGTGTGCAGTATGGTGAAACCAGTCCAGCACATTTGTCTTGCTGCTTACGGACGATAGTAGATTAGCTGAGAATTTCTAGAACGATGTTATGTACATGGTAAGTGTTACCTGACTGTTTATCAACCTGCGCAGAAGTCTATTCTGACTAAGTTGGAAAAAGCACACAGAATTGCATGTATGTATAAATATTTGAATACATTTGGCTACACTTGTCCAAGTGTATGCTGCGGCCAAATAACAAGGGACTAATATGTAATTTACTGATAAATAACTCTGACATCAACCCATTTAAAATCTCCCATAGAATCGAAACAGAATGGAGAAATTGTCGTTCTACGTTCCGGAATCGCTTTGTTAAAGAGGTCTGAATAGATACAAAAAATGAATTCCAGTCTGGAGCGGAGCTCAGTATTAAAACACAATTAGGTGTGAAGGGTGACAAAATAAGTTCGTTCCGGCCATCAACGACCATTTTGGCTTACTAACGGTTGAATCCAATAGAAAACTGTAAGAAATTCAATTGCACCAGCTTACTTGTTTCGTTGCCAATGCAAGCTCTGTGACGCAAGTGACGAAAAGGCTTTGAGAAACTGTCTTCTCGGCGGTCCCCGTGGAAAATCGTTCGCGTTCCGAATCATCAATGTTCTCGACTGTCTCAGAGGGGATGTCTGCCAGAAAATGATAGTACATCAGCGCTTCCTGTGGACTTTCGATTTCAAACTTTCTGGTGTACAACATGATGACGCGAGCAAGATTGAGACGACGAAAGGCAATCGGGTCCGAATCGTTTCTGCTGACTGCATATGTAAAGTATTATGGAAGGGAATGGTTAAAATGAGCACACATAAAAATGAAGCTGACATTGAATAGATAGCCTGTGGTTTCTGTCTTCAGTCATACAAAATCCGAACGTAAATGGGACTAGTCAACTATGGACTTCAACTCGAAAGTGAATTCAAGCCACGCTGAAAGGTCGAGTACGGTATAGCTGTTTCATTTTTGTTGAGAATTATCGGGAGTGCATATTTTATGGATCTCTTGGAGTGCCAGAAATCGCGATATCTGCGTTAACGGTCAGACAATAACTTTAGGCTAGAATTCACTCATACTTGAGCAGGATACAGGCATCCTCCAATCATGCGTCTCATATCAGGTACTCAGTTGTCGACTGGCAGTTGGAATGACGACAGATGCTCGTGCAGCTAACCAGATGCTTCATTTTCTGAGCAGGTTACTTATAGTTGGATGGTACAGTGGGCAGATTTTGCAATTTTCGATCGAAATTTCATCCTGCATGTGACGTAATTCTATCTCGAAAAACCCGGAGACACTGTACGGATGTACAGCGAGTCGTAACCTCCACATGAGTTCGTAAGATCACTTCCGAAAAAGGTAAAACAGCTGTACAGTGATCCTCTGCTTTTCGGCATAAACGGACTCGACTTGCCACAAAAATTTCAGTTTCTTTCTACTACTATCAAACATAGTAGTTTGTCTGTCCAGGACTGTCTGCGTTACTTAAGCTGACATTTTACGAGAACTCGAAATCGGAGAGGAGCCTGTGCCACAAAGAGGAGCGCGATTTTGACATAAATTCACAAAAGCAATGGGGGCACAAGGTACGGCAAAGTGGAACTGAAAAGCATGTTCGTCAATCTTTTTGGGGTCTCGTATAGTTATCAGCGTTCGTCCCGGGGAGTACATGCAGACCTTGCCATTGACCACCGAGCGTGAAGGGCTATAAACCATGGCATCCATGGAATTGGCTCATCCCAACACGGGCTGGCCGCGGTAAATCAAATTTGTACAGCATTTTGTCACACGGGTCGATTCGTTTTGGACCAAGCCCCAAAAATAAGAACCAACAGGAGCACGAGGGGTGTGCTCTAAGTGAATCCCCTTGTGCAATTAGTTATCTGACGGGCTAAGAAACACGGAATTAAAATGCCGAGACTTACCGAGTGGTGATTGTAGCGAGTCCGATAAAAGCAAAAGGTGTTGTGTGTGTAAACCGAGCGCAACGTGGACAGCGTGGCTACGGAGAGCTTCGAATCGAGCCAGAAAGGCTATTGCAACTTCGAATTGCTGGGTCAGGCATAAAAGCTTGAAGTAGACAAGGGGCTGCGACCAGGCATCAAAATGGACTTCACCTGAAGGATGACGACATGGGGAATAAAGACAGTGTTTAAAGTATATTGTTATCTTTTTTGTAAAGGTGCTGTGACCAGACTCAGACAACTGTCAAGACAACATACAGTAAAACATAAATACCAGAAGTTGAGTAAGAGTAATTCAAAAGGGCACGCTCAATGGAGAAAAAAGAAATAAGCTCATCCGTACAGTTGTTCGCACACTGAAAATGCGCGCAAACAACCGATAACAACGTTATTCTCACATACAGAGTTTCAAGAACAGAATATAATCGAGCAATTAAAGATCATTCATTTACTCCAACCTTACTCTCATTGTATCGCACTCGCTGTGTCACGGATTTCGGACGATCATGAGAGAAGAAAATGGATAACTAGCTATGCCACACACGTGATCCAGCTAACCGAGGTTATATCCCGCTCAGTATCAAGCCGATGATTCACCAAAAGATCGTGACCGTATCCAGAGTTTATGAGATTGACTTCAACAATTAGAGTAGAAAAGTTACCCTTATCTGATGAACTAGTGGCTGAAAAAGGCGAGTTGAATCAACAGCAAACAAATTAACCTTGCCACCGCTTGGATATTTTCGTGTCATTCGGATGTTCGGGTCCGAGTGCCGCCAGGTTAAGAAAGTTGATGAAAAACACGGCTCATACAGACGCCCAGATGGAGACCAAGACCATGTGGTTAGACTCAGCTGTAGACCACCGAAAATGGTACCCGGCAGGATACCTAGTGAGGATTTTTACTATTGTAGTGCGAAATTTATGAATCCACGGAGAAATCCACGTAGTAGAAGGCAGTTGGAGTAAAACATAGCTCCAATCTGATGGCATAATGTAGAAGTATTGAAAAATATTGCGAAAATGAGGTGAGAACAAGCAGAGTCTGCAGCTCTAATAACTGAAAATATGACCCAGGAGATACCTTTTGGCGAAGATAAATTCTTGCATATCCTTAGAAACAGTGACGTCTCAGCCGAATTTTAGGGGACCACGAAGGAAGCGTTTCTGTCTGACATGACAGGTAGGGCATAGAATGAGTTGACGCATCACAAAAACGGATCATCTACACAAATGACTCACCATAAGTCTCATACAATAGTGTCTGGAGTTGACCGAGAGTTAGTGGATCGTCAAATGAGTTCCAAGTTGCCACACTTGATGACGAGTCAGTGAGTTGTGCAGCAACTTGAGAAAGCTTAACCCAGAGAAAATCGTCAATGCTTTGCGCCACTTCGGAATGACTTTCGGCAGAAGGTCCCAAGCCAAGGATGGAGAAAATGAGTCTGGTTGGGAAAAGAGGAAAACGGCTAAAGAGTGAGCAGCGTGAAAACGGACAGGAATAAGACTATCCTTTCTGGCTCAAACCACTGGCAGGTAAAAATTAAAGTAGTAGTAGCCAATAAGTTATTTAGCATGGATGAAACTGGCCCACGCAAGCTACATGTCAAGAGGATGGTGTTGGGGTGATAACTGATGTGTAAGAAAACTCCTGAATTGTTCGTTGTAAACTCCAAGTGACTAAAGGGTTCGAACCCGACCTCTGCCTCTCGACTTCCCCTGTCTGGGCTTGGGCAACCCGTTCGTATCCCAGCCTTCGTGCTTTCTTCGGGTAGCATGGCAGCTAGGCACCAGAAGGGTGTTGCAGCTGAACGATTTCTTTTATTTTTTAAAAGGGTCAGGACAGAACATAGAAAATATATTTAGAAATTTCAGGAGCATTACAGAGAATTGTGTACCATAAATGACCCATCTGCTGAATTCGAAGAAAACCGCGTTCGCTGGCAGGCGGTATGTACGCTGTTGCTCATGCATAAAGTGAGGATCTGATTAATACTCCCCACTACGGCGAAACCTTGATTGCTACGCTTGAGTTTGCATCTTACGTGGCGGAGTCAGGCGTCTCAATATTAATGAAACCAGTAACAGCGATATGATAGGCATCAGGTTCATACCTCCACTGTTGACACAGTCGCTTCGCGTACCTTTTTTGAATATAGGTATGAGGACTACCTGATTCCACTTATCTGGTATGCGTTCTTGTTCCCAAATATGTGAGTATGTTGGTCCAACCACGCCGCTGGATGCACAGACAAACTTCATCTAAGTTGACGCTTAACGGACCAACAAGCCGAATTATGCTGGGGTCCGGAAGAGATACAACTTCTGTATCAATGAAGGAAACTGACCGTTCTGAGTAAGTAGTTGGAATGTGAGGGTTCGAATGCACTAAGTGCCAAGTCTCTAGCATCAAAAGTAGCGGTTACCTTCCAACAGTTGGACTACAGTCGAAGAGGTCTCTTTCCAAGGTCTTGGTGTTTGCTTAATTTACGGCTCAGAAAACTTTTAGGCTGCTTGTTAGTTGCTGGGGTCGTTAATGAGCTTGATTCTAATTTCTCGTTTTTCCCCTACCACCTTGGCTATTTTTAGAGACCGCGGTTCTCTCCTATTGGATAGCGAATTCCCCGTTCTTCAAGGTCATTATATATGGTGTTGTGCTCTGTGAATTGCCTTCAAGGCAGTGAAAGTTCTCTGAAGGTCTCCTCACCTTCTGCACTGGGAGTGGTTGGGCCCATGTCGTAGCTGGGGATTTTTGTGCCTGTTCTCACGTCACAGACAACAGTTATCGTGCCTTGGATACATAACATTTCAGCGGCGAGGTTGTTTCCGATCTACCCGAAATGGATCACGAAAAAGTAGGGGCGTTTCTAGAGTAACAGCCCAGCTGACAGGGACACTTACACAGCCGAAGGTTCCCGCATGAAACCAAATCAGCAGACTGTTTGCATTACGAATAGTACAGCGGAGCTTAGCTGTGAACCAGAGGTTAATAGTATGTTAGAGATATCGCTTCGCCCATTTCCAGTTGGTCTCGCGGCTCAATGTGATGCATGGAAAGTTCAGCAAAGTCCGGCAGAAAATTCGTAAACTTACAACTTAGGTGGAGGAGATTTTGTAAAATGGAGATAGAACATCGAAAGGACACATAACCAAATGAGAAATGCCAGTTGAGTTCGGTACACTTGGAGATTTAAGTGCATCCCTTAAACTTTGGGTGGCTAACTCTGCCGTTAGGGGTCTTGGTGTCTTCATCAACCATTGTGATAATTTAAAGTCAGATGAGCTATTAATAGTTAAGATGAGACCAGCACAATAGACATCATCCTGGATACCAGAATATAGAATACTCTAAATGCTGTCGAATGAACCAATGGCAGCTGGTCCATTACGCCCTCCAACATCCCATCAAGGTGCAGTCCACCGTAGGAGCGATTAGGTGAGAAATCTTTCGGCCATTATAGTTTTTTGTTGTGTTCTCAAGTGTTATGCTACAGGGAATTCAGTGGAGAAATAAAATCATGACAGCCATTGAACAGGAGGCAAGAGAGGAAAACTCGTTGGGTGCTGCGTGCTTTCTGATTCGCCTTCATGAACATAAAAACTGCTGGGCACTCACTAAAAAGCATATCAGTCGTGTCCCTCAGCAAACCTTCAGTCATTCAAACAGTCACATATAAAACGGTAGACAAGAACCCTTTCATTGGAAGTTAAATGGTGTAGGGTGATCCCAATCGGCACGCACCATCGTATCAAGGGCAAGTGCAGTCACAATAGTAGGCAGGCACTCTTAATGGTTGTCAAGTGAGCAACAGTTGACCATTAACGTCATCCTTGGTCCTTCCAAAAGAATAGTGGTAATCGAAGGGAAGTTCAAAAATTCTGAACAAGTCTCGTATGGAATCTTTGGATTTAGGTCCTATACATGAGGCAATACGTATATGTACCAGTTCATTTCTTCCCAAGGGGATGAGCTAATTTATAAACAACGGACCATCACTGTGCCCGGTCAGTAGCGTCCACCTCATTTCGCTTCTCTCTCTCTCTCGCGGTTATAACACCCTTCAGGTGTCTAGCTGTCATGCTACGCGAAAGAAGCACAAGGGTTGGGATACTGCCATGTTGCTAGACAGGGCTAGACAAGGAAATCGAGATGCAAAGGTCGGGTTCGAACCACGGACCTTCCGGTCAATAAATCCGCGCTCTAACCACCTAAGCCATCTCGCTGCTTGAGCCATTTCGCTTGTAACATACAATGGGCTATTTTCAATGATTCGGTATGCAGCATAAGCAGCATATGTTTTTAAAGCTATAACCCTCAAAAAGGCTGTAAATCTTTTGTGTCCCCATGCATCCACATTGACTGCGGAAAAGGCGTCATTCCATCTCATTCATATGTAAGTCAACGCATGTCCCTCTATCGCTGTATTCCATCGAGTTGATGACATATTACACATAAGCTTGGAGTACCGGCTCCCATCTCAAACGAGTAACTTGAGATTGGATGTGAAACCTGTGTCGATCTGTGCGCTTCTATAGGTGACGAAAAACGACGGCAAACCCAAAGAAACGTCGCGGATGAATTCGGTCGCAGTGATGAATCCCAATGGCTTTTTTATTTGTGAAGCGAGCTACGCGAGACAATGGGGCTGGTACGTGATAATCCGAAGAAAATGTCTGTACTCAAGCATTTTACCCCTTTCCAATAATTGCAATCTGCAAAGCGGGAACAGTGCGGACAAATACATTTGTCATCCTGGTGTTGAAAGGCCCTAAAAGATGTTTTGGAACAGAGAGGCCGTCGGGCACGTAAGAAACGTTTTCATCGTAAAACTGCTTTGGCATGCAACGACTAGGCAATCACACACCAGCTATTATCTACGATCCACAAAGCGATCGCTGCTGCAAGCGAGCAGCTGAATTAATCCTCAGTGACTATGTAATAGGATTAGAGCTGTCTGTTTTTTGTGTTCATAACCTATGGACAGATAGTAATGAATCATCATTTATAAACAGGTTACGGAAAAAGACTGAAAGCGAGCCAGTCAAAAGAAAGGATACATCACCCCATCCCTTACAGGAATGGCTGTTTAAAGTGAAGTTACGAGAAGTCCAGATAATCTAAAGCTTAACGCCACAATCTACCGAGCTACAGTTCTGAATGGGGAAAATGTCTATCGTCTCATTGAACCAGGAGCCAATAGCATGACGTCACAAATAAGCAGGTGACGTCAAGCTCTCCGCCTTATTGAACTTCTTGCAGCGAGCCTTAACAGTGAATAAATGACATGCACACCACAAGAATGTAGGGCTGTGCAGTCCGTGAAATCGATGGACAAGTTAGGATAAGCGAAGGGACCGTAAAAGTGATCCTTTATCACACCAAAGGCTGAATAAATGCCAATGCTTGGAGGTGATATCGAACAAAAAGGCTGAGAAACCGGTAGAACACGAACATACCTCTTGTACGGGTCTCTCGAGGCTTTCAGAACCTGTAAAGCGGTTTGACGAAGCCTAGTCCGCGTGGCCACTGACAAGTGCCGTCCTCCGTTGACATATTCTTCAAGAATAGCGGCAAAGTTCTCTAAGGTGTTCCTGTAATAGGTAAGTTAACGTTGGGATGATAACGCACAACAGAAACAAAGGCGGTCTGGATTAACAGGAGATACAGAATAACTTAAAGATCACAGCAGTTGTACATGAGCGGGTTTTGTTCAAATCGGATAAATTTCAGTAGAAAGATTAATGAAATAATTAAGATAACCGTCCACTTGTAACTCCCTTTCGGTGCCTAACTGCCATATCATCCGAAGAAAGCACGACTGCTGGGATACTGTCAGGCTGCCCAAGCCTGCACAGAAGTCGAGATGCTGAGGTTGGGTTTGAACCACGGACCTTCCGGTTGGTAAATTCGTGTTTTAACAACTAAGTCATCTCGCTCCCAGTAGAAGCAGTGCTCATGTTTAACAAGACCACAATACTACTTTAATGGCTGGTTGCCACTACCTCTAACCATGCAGCTGGCTTAATAAGTAGATAACGTCAAACATTTGTGATATAACAACTAGGACATGGCTTCTCAGGTCGATAGCTGAAGCACCATTTTGGTGTCTTATCCCAGCATATCCAAGTATGTAGTACACAGAGGTTAAACTTACGACGCGGCACGAGCAACTTCAATAGCTGCCCGTGAATCACCAGCGCGCAGGCAGTAGTAAATCATCGGCCAAACGGGCTTGGAGTCCACCAGTCCATCCTGCGTAAGACACATAAAGAAAGAGGATAGAACAGATGAGATACAAATGAGATGAAGACCTGCTCTAACTACAGAAAGCCTACCATGAAATACAGAAATCCCTAGTACGTCTTAGCTCATTGGCGAGTAAACGATGGCCACTAAACCTAAGATAGCGTAGATTCATTACTACAGAGGCCAAACCGACACCTGGCAACGTCATTCGATGTGACACGCAATTGTCATGATTTTAATCCAAACTTCGGAATGAAAAAGCTGTAGACCGGTCAGTCCGCGTAACTCAGAAGTGGTAAACATCGCCCCGTAGTACGTATCTTCAGAATACATTACTCTTCCTCCACACAATAACTAAAGAAAATCATCATTAACATCCCAGCCCTCAACAGCAAAACTGGTGTCAAACGCTGGTATTTCATTGCTATATAACCACGATTTATTTAAAAAAAAGGGAAAAAAAGGAAAAAAGAATGGAGATGAATGAACCTCACACTAGCCCAGTAAAAGCGTACTGAGATGTCCACACTCAGACGTTCTGGATAGGAAACGATAATGAGAATACCATTTGCTAGTGGTCACTCACTATACAGTCTCCAAGCTCAGACAGGATCACGCAGACCGCATCTCCGAAAAGACGGTACTCAAGCATTATGCTATCCCCTCCGAACCCTTGTGCCCGGTCATAAGTTGACCGTTCTTCAACATGAGCCACACTAAATTCGGGAGGGAAAACAGCGATTCTACCGGAAATTGAAATCACACACACCACCAGGTGGTGGATTTTCGGCGTCCATGACTCTACATACGCAATACATGACCAGGTCATTGCAGCATATAACGCATGATACATCCTTCAACCGAAGTTTCAGCTGATTGGAAAGATAAAAGCCAACCAACCGTTCCAGTTCGGGTTCGCAATTCCCTAACTTCTATGGTTTTGAGAAAACGATTGGAAAATACCTGAATATGTCTCTGTTCCGTTGCTCGCTAGGAGTCGCTTTTTACAACCATCCAAAAAACAACTCACTCGATCCTTGATACTAGGATATGTAACATTATCGTCACAGGTGGCGTAGATTAGCAAAAGTGCAATCCTGATCTTAGAAATTCTTTCACGAACTGCATCTGTTGAAGCAGCGATGGAGACAAAACAATTGTACATCAGAGAGAAGCGGTCCACGACTTTAGTTATCTCGTCTAGGATTTGGAGATGCATGCTCACTGCCTCGACACCCTGGACAACAAAGTCACATTTGGTGAATGCAAAGGGTGAGGTGAATTTAGTCAGCTCATCGTCGTCTGTTGCCTGTACGTTACAAAACAAAAAAGTTGTCGCTGGAAACTAATTGACGACTGGATCCTGTACATATTTCAGCATCTGTTTTCCGATATCACAAGAGTGATGGTCATACCTGAAAGAGGCCAGAGGCTAGTCTCTAACAAGTGATTTTAGAAGACAGCGTGATAAAATAAACTTAAATATGGGAGTAAATGGTAGTTCAATAAAAATACAAAAAGCAACCTTGCCTCAAACTCCGTGAAGTCTGGTTGTGGTTCCATCATCAACGATCCGTCGGCTGTATTTTTCTTCGCTCCAGCATCTGAGGGAATATGATTCGGCAGCTGCATATTTAGAAAAGCCTTGACGAATGAACGGGTCCCGGGACGACCACCCAATTTGGCTACACGCGGATGAGTGGAAATGGTAGTGCATAAAAAGGTCACGAACTCTGCCTCGAGATGGCTCAGCGAACACTCAATCAACTGGCGCTGAAAGGCAGCGCAGGAGCGAGTCTCCGCAACATGATGAGGTGAGGCCGCAGGAATAGAGTTGGACTTGCGCATAACTTGGATCGACTCAGCGAAACGTTTGACCAGATTCCAGACTTCGATCAGATCAGAATGGGCAGTATCACCACATCCTGAAACCTGCCTATTATCTGCAGTACCACTGTTCGCTTCGGCAAGAAAAAGAAGCAAGTTCGTCGGATCCTCCGCTTGAGAAAATGTGGACGAGCCGTACTCTGGTCTGTAATTAGCTGATACGCTTAGATATTGGTCCACCTAAGTGAGTGGGGAGCAAAAGTCAAAAACAGAAAACCTATCACACACAGAAATGTAAAGTCCAAACATTCACCTATTCGCAAGAGGAAGCAAAGTTTCTACAATAAAGGGGACTTATCTCCTTGACCCATATTAACACTTGACGGTTGATAGGAGTAGTTGGAGTGCATGTACGAACAATAATACAAGAAAATGGAGAGGGATAACTGTCGGACGAGTATGCTAACTATTTGATTGCTTTAAAGGTACATTTCACCGAGCAAGTATCGCCATTTAATGACATTCGGCACATCCAGTATGGGCAGTGAGCCACGACTACGCAAGAGTAAGTAAAAGTTGATGCCATTTGAAGTGAATCCCGCGTAGGACCGACCATGTGAATACTTCCAGTCAGCTTGAAACACATCGGTTTCCATAGATGAAAATCAACAACGAAGGCCACAGCATCCAATCGTTTATGACCGTGGAGGAAGAACATCTTAGTAAGGGAGACGAGAAAGCCTCAGGGCTTAAAAATTCAAAATCGAAACGCCGATCCGTTGCAGTAGGACATTAACTAGGTGGATGGAGGTTATCTTACCCATGTTTAGTCCACAACGGCGCACAGTGGACAATGAAGCTTCGTTTGTCGCTCAACATTTGGTGCGTGTCGGAAATCTTTAGCCATATGAAGCGTTTCACCCACGCAGGGATGGTCATGTGGATTTGACCTTGTGAAAAGGCAGCCAGCAACATCATGTCCGAAAGTAACACCAGTGCCAAACCTGGAGGCTTCACTGTCGTGCAACCGTACTTTAATTGGTCAATACCTCACTAAGAAAAGAATAGGTGCCGAGAGGTATAGGGCTACACACTAACCTACCATAGGGCTTAACGCAGATCCTATCCTGGAGCGTTCATTGCGCAGGCGATACCCATGTAGCATTTGTTTTGACTAAGCTGATCAATGCTTTACTACAGCAAAGTTAACTTGTTTTCTCCAATATGGATGGTAAGACAGGACATAACAAATCCGAGTTTTAGCAGAAGGTCTCATTCAAGCTATGGGTACACTCTCCACATCCAACCGAATATATATACGCCGTCATGATAGTTCACAGATGGTGCTTCAAACACATGTAACAGTATTCTGGCGACAATGTGTTCGCTTTTTTTGTGTACCCTCTTTCATAGGCTACTGACCTGACGGACCCCATTCACGATAGTCCAAACATGACTCTATGCTTCTTACTTTGCCACGAAACCAAAGTTGCCTCCGCAAGAAGCATTTGGTTCAACTTCTACAGGCCTTATCACACTAAACACTGCAGCCAGATAGTTGTGGTAAGTGAATTTAAGGATAGAAGTGCGAAGATGATTTGAGTACCTGTAGAAAAGTACATAATGCATAATACATAATCGACGAACATGACAAATTGACGTTCTACGTGTATGCTAACGCCTGAGATTACGCTGAGGGATAACGACAAAAGATAAGCATACGTGGCTCAAATGATTATCAAAATACCACTTCTCATTTGTTCGCACCTCAATCAAAAAAGGTGTACAACCGTACAGTGATCTTACGTGCATGTTTCTCAGATGTGCATGTCCATTCTGACCAGGGAAACGGTACGAGTGGGGAATACCTGTCGGAAAGAGGGCCACTACTTGGTGTTACAAGCGCTGCCTTCACTTTCCGTTTCCCGGAAAAAAATTGATAAGGCAATAAACAGAATGGGTCATATTGACGGGAGGCCACGGGGGCGAGGATATAGCACCGGTCACTTAAACGAATGAATAGACGCCATTAAGACAGCTCAAACTAAGTCTTCGTGTTTCTCAATCCTGCTCCAAACTGATGGCTGTACATGAGCTTTCGTGGAACTATAACACACCTGTGCAGATAATTAAGATAAGGTCAGATAAGTACCTGTTTCGAGTAGGCGAGCTCATCACGTGTTCTATTGATCAATCGTCCCATAATCTCACCACCCAAAGGACTGAACGGTGTCGCGCCATCTTTGACACTCGTATGGTGGTATAAAAGGTCGGTATCCAGCGGACCAGAAGAACCAGCCAGGGCCGATAGTACGCCAGTTGCTTCCTGCTCCCACCATGATCGAAGATAGGCGGCAGTTCGAGAATGGATACTTTCAACTAGCTGTATAAAGAAGAAGAAGCTGTTGGCTAACGCTTGGGACCGATCGACAAATCATTGTCCCAGGAAAATCTTAGTAAATCTGTCTCAGCAACGAATCTACTGATTGCTTCCAAAAGTTTTTTAATGTTAAAAACTAAACAAACACCAAATAAACACCACTTTCAAACCAAGTTAATAAGAATAAACCTAATAAACCCAACGGGACCCCTGTGTAAACCTTGCCGCCCACCTTTGGTGATCCTTTTAAGCCCGAACATGTACGTGAACCAGTCAGGTAATAATGGCATTCATATGATGCGCAACCCAAAACGCAATCACCTCGCCCGTATGCTAGGTGCCACTTGACTGTGGACGGTCAACTGACTGCTGCCTTTGAAACGGAAATCTATCACTCGCCAAATTGACTGCTGAATTGTATTAACAGGTATAGGGAAAGTCGACTTACGGGAGATTTTTAACCACAGGGCTGGTTGCAAAACCATCAATCTGCAGTGGAGAAGTGTAATGCAGGGCTTTGTTGAGGCAGGTGATGCTCATGACCAGTCGATTATACTGTTGGTTTGGAAGACAGACTGCAGCTATTTTTGTATTACAATACCACGGCACTATCGGACAGGAGGCATAAATATAATTTGGACCTGTCCTTCTTGTGATTGATCTCGGTTGGAAGTGACAGTGTCCCAGGCAGCGTCAGTTTCAAGCTAGTCACCCAATATAGTCAACCAATATAGGTTTAAGTTTACAGAATGCTTTTGAGCGAAACCTTATCTGGAGCCGGAAAACTCGACAACCAGTGCGAAAAGAAATGAAACGATGGATCTACGTGTAAAAATTACGACCAATAGCAACACTTCCGCAGTCCCACGACCTTGTGTAAAAGAACCTACCGATTCCTGTGTCATAGAAATAACGTTAAGAAGTGCATTTTCGCGTTCAGTCTTCAAAAATGTCTGTATGTCCAGCTTGGTCGATGGGACCACACCATCTGCTAAGGCTATTGTACTCATTGATTCCAGTTTCGACGAAAGATGTGCCGGAAGTTCATAGCTCATTTTGTTGCCAAGCAAACGAGCAGCCTTCACATCGCTGCGAGGACCACGTGATAAATAAAGCTTATCTCCAAGGTTACGTATCTGGTCCAGACTCCTTGTGATGTAGGGAAGGTCACTATAGCCCTGAACATCCATAAGAAGTTTTTCTGAGTCTTGTACCAGCTCATCAAATGTGACATCCATGGGTACGCTAAAAACAAAACAAATAGTTTGAATGCAAGCTGAGATTTTCATAACTGTTTTTTTTCTTTAGGCCTGTCTTGTGACATTAGGAAATTGATTAATCACTTGCCTACACTATAAATTGTTCAGCTGTAGTACACTTTGGGTGCCTAGCTGCCATGCCAAGGTTGCCAAGCCTAAAAAAGACCAGTCGAGACGCTGAAGTCCAATTCGAACGACGGACCTTCTGACCCGTAAGCTGGCGCTTAAGCACTGAGCTATCTTGAGCCCATAATTATGCTATACATGTACCTATTGGTGTACTAAAAATATGGTGCCGTATACAGTATAGAAGAAACTGCATAAAAATACCCCACATCTAGAACCATTACACGGCAAGTGCGCGGTTTTTACAGCTGATGATGATGCCACAGACACCGAAGATCAAGTATTTGAAGATACCCAGGATCCTTGCATTGGAGGGGCAAAGTCTCGAAAACATAAAGTAAGACGGCTTCTGAGCGAAAATGTTGACAAATGTTGCTCGCCAATTGATTATCGGCGCATCAACTACATCTGTCACAGTTAAATCACAATTTATGCGGCTGCAAAGACACGTGAACCAACCAACAGATCCAAGCTCTTCATCCTGAAGTTTCAGAGAAACATAAGACGATTAAAAATCATGAGACGAGACTTTGCAGTTCGAAAGTTCAAAAGACATGCCTAGACATGATGTCACCTCCGACAGTCTGCCTAGAGCATTTTGTGCGGATAAATAATCGTCGAACAAAAAACGATGTAGTACACGTGATCCAAGTCTCTCATCCAGGAAAACGACAAGTGTCAAAGCGACTGAGCTGAGTAGTAAGGGCTTTCGTGTTTCATTGCTAAGTCAGGGACTGACCACCGAGACGAAAGGCTCCTACAAGGCGAACCGTCCTCTGGCACATGAAGTACAAAGCCCAAGCAGCGTGCCTGTCAAGTGTGACCAGGCGATCTTTCCCGAAAGGCATTTGGCATACCTCTGCATTATTTGCTTGATAGTCTTGGTGATGGTCAAACACAGGGTTTCTGAAGGTTCCTGATCTACAAGCTAGAATGGATTACACCACAGCATGGGACAATCAAGCTGACATAAAGTCGGTGCCACAAATGTCGAAGATTAGCAAACGCAGCTCTGGTCTTCCCGCTCAGGGAAGTGATTTCGTCTTTCAATGGTGTGGCAGTATGAGCTTACCTGCCGCGCCAATCGGTTCGCCTGCTAGGTTCGGGTTTCATCTCACCCAATCTGGCAGGTGCGAAACACATACCGAACTGTACAGCAGGATTAGTTGGCCCTTTGAAAAGTCCGCATTTCTAGAGCGTCTCATCCAAGGATTGCGATAACTTTGGTGTATTCAATGTTTTTTGAGCAAACGCCAGGAAAGAACTTAGATCCCTGAAGTGTTGGAGATAGTTAAAGAGACTGCCATGTGCTGCACATTGATCGTGAATCTAGAGGAAAAGCGACAGAGGACAGTCTTATCTGACACCACTGGATGTGGTGGACGCAAAAGATAATCTACCGTAGACTCATACGCGTCCACTGAAGAAGGAATATATAGCCCTTAGAAGAGACAAGAATTCAGGAAGGCATCTTTCATCACTAGACATTACCATAAATTCTGATGATCAACAGAATCAAAAGTAGACCTGAGATCGAGAAAGACTATCATTGTTGTTCGTTGGAGGGAATGGCGCAGTTCCAATGAATGTCAGGAAGTGAAGATATGATCGATGCGATCCCGGCCAGGACAAAACTCAGCTTGGTTCTCACGAATCCGGCTCTCCCGATTACGAATCAACTGCGTACGATGATACCATAGAACATCCTGGGAGCTATGACCCTGTGGTTTTCACAGAAGGTTCGTGCACCTTTCCAGAATATGGAAATCCATGTTGAAGTGCTCCGTTCTGTCAATATTTTGTTTCATTATCATCACCAAAGACAACAACATCAGTGTTGGCACTGATGCTTCACTGCCGTACAACCATAAGGTTCGTCTAGTTATATATATATATATATATATATAGT